GTACCCATTGTCTTTTTTTCCCTATCCTGTTTAATAGCTTTCTATCTGCAAAAACGAGGGCAACATATAACTGTGTATAACACACTGTGCCATGTCAGGCATGCTGCTGTTATATTTTGTTTATTACAATCAGGGACTAAGCATTCTATGTGGCTCAGCTGGTAAAGAATCCACCTGCAATGTGGGAGATCTGGGTTCGATCCCTGGGTTGGGAAGATCCCCTGGAGAAGGGAAAGGCTACCCACTCCAGTAATCTGGCCTGGAGAATTCCAGGGACTGTATAGCCCATGGGGTCGCAGAGTCAGACACTACTGAACAACTTTCACTCACTCGCTCAAGCATTCTATCATTAAGGTTTATAATGACATATAACTCGATCTGCTGAGAGCTGTAGACCATACAGTCTGAAGGCCTGGTAGGGAGTCGTTCCCAGAAATTCCTTCTTCAATGGTATACTTTATAGTATATGATCCTGAAAAACTAGAAGAAAAAGATACTGGAATATAGAGTTCCATTCAGTCATCAACAATTGGTCCAATTCATCATCATATGGCATCAACAAAATGTAACCCAAAGTGATGCAACTCAGGTTGCAGGCTTCTATTCAAACTTGTCAGGTTCCAAAAGCAAGGCAAGCATATAGCTTCACTATTTTAAGCACCTGGTATACTTGTGCTAAGAGACAAGGCTTTTGCTCTGAGCCTCTCTCAAGGCACAAGTGTAATAGTGGATTTCCCTCATTGCATAAACCATTTATTCATTCCTTTTCCCTCAGTTACCATTTCTTCTTTTCTCCATTCGTCATTGATTTTAACCCAAACTTTTCCACCTGTGGAGGGGATGTTAAGGGCAGTTGCTGTGCTGGTCCAGATTGCTGACAGTAATACCAGTCTAGCAATGCATCCTCCTTCAGTCTATTCCCATTCATACAGGTAGTGTTACATAGATAAAGAACTAGTGGGCTACTTTGACCCGTAAGTAATAGAGCTGTATTAACTGAGATTCAACTGTCTTCACCCAGGTATTCATGATGGTTTCTTGGACTCTTTGTGTCCTTTTCTGCTGGAAAAATAGGAATATACAATGGTGAGTCACACCTCCTAATTTAGTCCAATGTTCTGGACATTTGTTTGCTGTAGCATGGTAGTAAGATGTTTCTTTGCCCCTCTGTAAGACTTCTTTTGTATTTCTTTGGCTCCCCTAAACTGGGGATTGTGCATGGGAGTTATCTCAGCTCCCCAAACCCATGGATTTGGTATGGATCTTTCATTAGCTCCCCAGTCCCTAAAGACAGCATGTGGGGAGTTCACATGGCTCTTTACTTTATTGCACATGGGTGTTCCTCTGACTTTCTTCCCCAGAGATTGCATAAAGGGTTCCCTCAGCTCTCTAATCTTGGTTTAACTATTTGTTAATCTCATAACTGATGCTTTTGAACTGTGGTGTTGGGGAAGACTCTTGAGAGTCTTTTGGACAGCAAGGATATCAAACCAGTTAATCCTAAAGGAAATCAACCCTGAATATTCCATTGGAAGGACTGATGCTGAAGCTCCAATATTTTGGCCACTTGATGCAAAGAGCCAACTCATTGGAAAAGAGCCTGATGCTGGGAAAGTTTGAGGGCAGGAGGAGAAAGGAGCAACAGATGTTGAGATGGTTGTACGGCATCACTGACTCAATGGATATGAGCTTGAGAGAAGCCTGGCATGCTGCAGTCCATGGGGTTGCAGAGAGCCAGACACGACTGAGCAACTGAACAATAACAACAACAAATCTCATTCTGCCAGGTGTCTTCCCTACTCTTCTTCTCTGCTTATTATATGTGTTGCCATTACTGCACTTACTTAGTTTAATAAATTCATAAATAGCAAAAATTTACCAAAGGCAATTTGAACTTCAGTGACTTCTTTGGAAAACTTGAGGCCTTCCCAAACTGGCACATCCAAGGCCTGCCCCTTCTCATCACTTCATTCCTTCTTCCTCCTCTTACTGCCTTTGTTCTTTCCTAAAGTTGCCTTAAGTCCTTTGATCTGTCTCCCTTCAACATCCCTGCCTAATCTTTCTCTTCCTACTCCAGCCCCTCAGCTTCCTGTAATCACTAGACTATAGTCACTCCTGAATCCAGAGGCAACCACCTAAAGCTGAGAAAGCTAACTGGAAACAGACTGGCTATTTTATCCACTCAGATATCTTTGGAGACATTCAGGTGGCTTCTGGGTATCTCTTTGGCCCATCTTCCCATATTTATCCCTCCCACAGCCTCCATAAGATTGGGGCTTCCCAAGTGGCAGAGTGGTAAAGAATCTTCCTGCTGATGCAGGAGACACAGGAGACACAGGTTTGATCCCTGGATTGGGAAGATCCCCTGGAGTAGAAAATGGCAACCCATTTCAGTATTCTTGCTTGGAAAAATCCCATTGACAGAGGAGCCTGCAGGCTACAGTCCATGGAGTTGCAAAGAGTTGGACATGACTGAGCACGCACACAACTCCATAAGTATTACACATCAGGTCAAAGTAGATGGTGGGAACTCTAAGCCCTCATATTAAACAGATAACCTCACTTGTTCTATCTGTCAGAATAATCCTGATAAAAATATAAAGGGGGGCAAAGACAAGGGCCATAACTGTGTTATATTAACCAGGGAGTTCTATATTTCTATGTTTATGCATGACTCAACTAAAATTTTAGAATGATGGCTATAAGATCCTTATTTGTATCTGTCTGTATGTTTACATATGTATGTATGTTGTATGTTATGTAATATTTTTCTGACTTTCAGATAATGTTACCAAATTGTTCAAATATCCTGACAACTTTTGACATTTTGCCTTCCCTAAATCTAACCCAAATTGATATCTTTTATATCCAAAATTGACTTTGGGGTTTCCCAGAGGGCCACTGGAAAATCACAAAGGATTTGTTCCTTCATCTTGTAAAAAGAGGTGCTAAAAATTATTAGATTTATTTAATATTATATAAAAGATTATATAAATTACATGGGAAGTGTTGTCAAAAAATACTTAGCCTTCCTTAGATTAAAGTTGTTTGGGTCAAATATTATTAATATAAATATTTCAAAAATGATGTAAGGTTCCTAGAGATTTGTCATTGTGCTCACTGTCTCTGATATATTTCTATTTGTGTCATCATGCTGCTTTACCTTATGTTGTGTGTGTGTACATGCTCAGTCACTGAGTCATGTCTGACTCTGTAACCCCACGGACTGTAGCCCTCCAAGCTCCTATGTCCATGGGATTTTTCAGGCAAGAAGACTGGAGTGGGGTGCCATCTCCTACTCCGGGGGATCTTCCCGACCCAGGGATCGAACCCACATCTCTTGGATCTCCTGAATTGGCACCTGGGGAATCCCCTTACCTTATTTTAGGTAGCAATAAACAATTTTATAAATAATACTTTCAATTATTTGAAAAACATTAACTTGGTCACAATTTTACTTTTCAAAATCTGCTATATTATAGGCTAACTGGGAATTGTAAATTTCATTTGGAAATTTACATCACTCACCTTTTGAGTTTTCCTAATAGGTAGATATGTAGGACCTTTTCTTCAGCTCCTAAATCTCATGGTTACAAAATAAATATGTTCTTACTATCATATATGTTTTCTCTCTGGCTTGAAACTTTCCCTTGTAAAAGGGCTGCTGCCACAGTGGTTGCTAAACTTTTATTAGGACAAGTGTTCCACACTGGCTCTTTCAAGTGACTGAAAGGCCCATTTCATGAGTAAAATCATCCAAGAAATCCAATGAGTTCTTCATTTATCACAAAAATTACACTGTCTTTGTCATTCTCTTACTCATTTGGAATGATAGCGCTAATGGACGATTAAAATAAAAACTTGCTAAACTGATGGAAGAAGTCAAACTTCCATGGCCTAAGGGTTTCACCCTTATCCCTGGTTGCTCTTTGGTCCTTTCTGATGGGTCATACCAACTGTTCTCTTATAAAATTATTGGCTAGCCCTTAGAATTCTCTATTCTGTTGAGTTCTTAAAGACTCTAACTAGGTCAATTCAGACATTCTAAAATTTGGCAAGAAATTTATTCATTATTCCCAAACTTCTCTTCGGCAAGTTGAAGCTGCTTTTTCCCCATTTCTCCCATGTATACCACTATATAACCTAAAAACTGGAGACTTAACTTTTTTTTTATAGATGGTATAATTTTTAATCACAAATTTTAACAGAACCAAGAAATTACTGAAAATTACATTCAGAGAAGTAGCTAGTTTTGCAAATATAATTAAAAATAACTTTCCTATGCAAGAGCAATAACCAATTAGAAAAATACAATGGAAAAAAAAACTATTTACAAAAACAAAATTTTGTTTTGTGTAGAACTTACTGGAAGAAAATTAGGAAAAAACGTACTCAGAATACTCTAATCATGGAAGGTAGGTTTCTGGATGGGAACAAAAGGTGTAAAGGTAATTTTCCACCATAAGTGTACAGGATTTAGCCTGTTTCATTACAGATACCAATTTAAAACCTAAGGAAATCTAAGAGGAGCAAGACTGATAAGAATCTGAAAATGACACACCACAGGATTGGTCCTGTGAAGGCACCGCTGGCCTTGCTTCTGGCAGACAAGTCAGGAAATGTGGGTACCAGGAGGCCACAGAGAACAAATGTCCACTACAATGAGGACGCTGGAACCCTATCTCCTGAGGGGTAATGTGAGCGAGCCACTGGAGAGATAATTTCTAAAAGTAAAACACTATGGGCGCGCGGGCACGGCGGCGGCGCGCGCGTGCTCCGTCGGTCGGTACGGCGGCGGCGGAGCTTGCCAAAGTGGGCGGCGGGCTGGTGTAGCGCCGCGCGGGTCAGGCGGTCGGCGATTGAGAGAGACCGGGATGGGGGCGCCGCAGCTGGAATGTTGCGGCGGCCTGGTCTGCTGACCGCGCACCGGGAGCTGAGAGCGGGCGGCGGCGGCGGTGGCGGAGCGCTGANATTTTCACGTAAATATAAAATTGCTTTCTTTTTTCTACCCTTCTTTTTAGGATGTGTTTAGTTTTCAGGTATCTCCTAATATGAATCCTATCAAAATAAATGAATTGGCAATCCAAAAACGTCTGACTATTCATGGGAAAGAAGATGAGGTTAGCCCTTATGACTATGTGTTGCAAGTCAGTGGGAGAGTAGAATATGTGTTTGGTGATCACCCACTAATTCAGTTCCAGTATATCCGGAACTGTGTAATGAACAGAACATTACCCCATTTTATACTTGTGGAATGTTGCAAGATCAAGAAGCTGTATGAACAGGAAATGATTGCCATAGAGGCTGCCATAAATCGAAATTCATCTAACCTTCCTCTTCCTTTACCACCAAAGAAAACTCGAATTATTTCTCATGTTTGGGAAAATAACAACCCTTTCCAAATTGTCTTGGTTGAGGGAAATAAACTTAACACAGAAGAAACTGTAAAGGTTCATGTCAGGGCTGGCCTTTTTCATGGTACCGAACTCCTGTGTAAAACTGTCGTAAGCTCAGAGATATCAGGGAAAAGTGATCATATTTGGAATGAACCACTGGAATTTGATATCAACACTTGTGACCTGCCACGAATGACTCGATTATGTTTTGCTGTTTATGCAGTTTTGGATAAAGTGAAAACTAAGAAATCAACTAAAACCATGAATCCCTCTAAATATCAGACCATCAGGAAATCTGGAAAAGTGCATTATCCTGTAGCCTGGGTAAATACGATGGTTTTTGACTTTAAAGGACAGTTGAGATGTGGAGATATAACATTACACAGCTGGTCTTCATTTCCTGATGAACTTGAAGAAATGTTGAATCCCATGGGAACTGTTCAAACAAATCCATATACAGAAAATGCAACAGCTTTGCACATAAAATTCCCAGAGAATAAAAAGCAACCTTATTACTATCCTCCCTTCGATAAGATTATTGAAAAAGCAGCTGAGATTGCAAGCAGTGATAGTGCTAATGTATCGAGTCGAGGTGGAAAGAAGTTTCTTGCTGTACTGAAAGAAATCTTGGACAGGGATCCATTGTCTCAACTGTGTGAGAATGAAATGGATCTAATTTGGACTTTGCGACAAGACTGCAGAGAGAATTTCCCACACGCATTGCCGAAATTGCTGCTGTCGATCAAGTGGAATAAACTTGAGGATGTTGCTCAGCTTCAAGCACTACTTCAGATTTGGCCTAAGCTACCCCCCCAGGAGGCCCTTGAGCTTCTAGATTTCAACTATCCAGATCAGTATGTGCGAGAATATGCTGTGGGCTGCCTGCAACAGATGAGTGATGAAGAACTCTCTCAGTATCTTTTACAGTTGGTGCAAGTTTTAAAATATGAGCCTTTTCTTGATTGTGCCTTGTCTAGATTCCTACTAGAAAGAGCACTTGCTAATCGGAGGATAGGGCAGTTTTTATTTTGGCACCTCAGATCTGAAGTACACATTCCTGCTGTTTCAGTACAATTTGGTGTTATCCTTGAAGCATACTGCCGGGGAAGCGTAGGTCACATGAAAGCGCTTTCTAAGCAGGTTGAAGCACTCAATAAACTAAAAACTTTAAATAGTTTAATCAAACTGAATGCAATGAAGCTAAATAGAGCCAAAGGGAAAGAAGCGATGCACACATGTTTAAAACAGAATGCTTACCGTGAAGCGCTCTCTGACCTGCAGTCACCTCTGAACCCATGTGTTATCCTCTCAGAACTCTATGTTGAGAAGTGTAAATACATGGATTCCAAAATGAAGCCTTTGTGGCTTGTGTACAACAACAAGGTGTTTGGTGAGGATTCAGTTGGAGTGATTTTTAAAAATGGTGATGATTTACGGCAGGATATGTTGACACTCCAAATGGTGCGCTTGATGGATTTACTCTGGAAAGAAGCTGGTCTGGACCTTCGGATGCTACCTTACGGCTGCTTAGCAACAGGAGACTGCTCTGGCCTCATTGAAGTTGTGAGCACCTCTGAAACAATTGCTGACATTCAGCTGAACAGTAGCAATGTTGCTGCAGCAGCAGCATTCAACAAAGATGCCCTTCTGAACTGGCTTAAAGAATACAATTCTGGGGATGACCTGGACCGAGCCATTGAGGAGTTTACCCTATCCTGTGCCGGCTACTGTGTAGCTTCTTATGTCCTTGGGATTGGTGACAGACATAGTGATAACATCATGGTCAAAAAAACTGGCCAGCTCTTCCACATTGACTTTGGACATATTCTTGGAAATTTCAAGTCTAAATTTGGCATTAAAAGGGAGCGAGTGCCTTTTATTCTTACTTATGATTTCATTCATGTGATTCAACAAGGAAAAACAGGAAACACAGAAAAATTTGGCCGGTTCCGCCAATGTTGTGAGGATGCATATCTGATTTTACGCCGGCATGGGAATCTCTTCATCACGCTCTTTGCACTGATGTTGACTGCAGGGCTTCCTGAGCTCACCTCAGTCAAGGATATACAGTATCTTAAGGACTCTCTTGCCTTAGGGAAGAGTGAAGAAGAAGCACTCAAGCAATTCAAGCAAAAATTTGATGAGGCACTCAGGGAAAGTTGGACTACTAAAGTCAATTGGATGGCCCACACAGTTCGGAAAGACTACAGATCTTAACGATCAGTCTTTGCTCCTAATGTGTTTGTTGGTTTCGTTTAGTTTTCATTTTGCACTTGCACTAAATTGAACATGACCCTGCCAGAGATGTTATAAAGGGAATGAAATCCTGGAACGGAGAGTTAAATTAAGAATGGGGTATCCCACAGAAAACTAATCTGAATAATCCCTGACAACACCCCCTGCTTTTTGAATGCTTCCAAGATTCATCATGAAAACTCAACATTATGGATAATCATTTCCTGCTGACTTTGCACGCCAAGGAATGCTACTAGAGATTGTTTTTTGTTTTTGTCTTTTTTTTTTTTTTTAAGTATTTGGTACTTTTCTGGAAAGATGTAAATACTTCTTTTCATATTGTGATCAAGTNCTAATAAAAATTAATGGAAAAAAAAAAAAAAGAAAACAGTGATGTAAAATATATCTGTTGAGAGAATACCACTAGATGCAGAAGGTGGATTCAGAAACAGTATGCATGTGCTTTCCGTTTAAATGTGTGATGTTAGCACATCAGCCGCAGGTCTTGATTACCAGGAGAGATGCCCTCCACCCTTGCTGCCCCAAAGATACAGGAAAAATGGCCACTCTCAGCTGGAGAAGGCTCTGCCACATAGAATAAAACATAAATATGCATGTAAGAACATGTACTTAGCTGGTGTGACCAGTGTCTCAAAAAATATTTGAGATGAAACAGAATCATGCTTTTCCCATAGCTTTCAATCTAAACATACAAGGGACTTGATTTCTTACCCAGTAGCATCATCTCCCCAATGCTGTCTTCTTCCATCTCTGAGGTGGGCTGCTGAGCAGGATCCAGGCTTACACATTCTTCTTGGGAGTGAAATACGTTCAAATCCTCAAAGACCACCAGTTTCTGAAAGAACAACAGGCCCCCTTCCTCTTAGTAACAAAGGTTCCTTGACAGCCTTGCTGTTAACAAAGACTGAGACCAAAAGATTGGGGAAGGGATGGTGAAAGGGATCTACAAGTCTCATGCAGACCAGAAAGCCAGGGTCAGAGAGAAGCCAGGGGAAAAACAGAACACAACTGTCTAAGAAGGCAGTGAAGAATGAGCCCAGTCTCCCTGCTGACTCCCTAGAGTGTGTTTTTATACGTGGGAGGACTGTGAGAGCAGAGAGGGTGATGTACCCAAACAGTGAACAGGAAAGCTGAACCCACCTCAGATTCAGATTTCAGACACAGAGATACTGTCTCCTGTTTCTGTTGGGTTCCTTCTCTAGGCAGAAGCTTCACTAAGGGACGAAGTTGCACTGGGGAAAGAGGAAGCTGCAGTTAAAAGAAAAGTCAGTGACTCAAATACAAAGATTCTACCCACATTTTGAAGCTAGATCATTCCCTTGGTAGGTAACTCATAGCTTTTTCTGCTCCTATGAGCCCAGTCAGAGGTCAAGCCTCAAACCACAGGGTCTTGAACCTACACGGTGTCTTTTCCTTAAAAAAAAAAAAAAGATGATTCTCCTAAGCACCTTTTAAATTTCCATTACCACTAAGGGGAAGGTTGGGGTATGATAAAGTCTGAAGATGTCCACAGCAAGCACAAAAGTTAACAAGATTCCACATAAGCTGAAGCCAATTCAATAATTCATTGACATTTCTTTATCCTAAAAACATATTCCCCAGGCTTCCCTGGCAGTTCAGTGTATAAGACTCCATCTTTCTAATGCAGGGGGTGCAGATTCGATCCCTCGTTGGGGAACTAAGATCCCACATGCTGCATGTCATGGCAAAAGAAAAAAAAGATTCCCCCTCCCGAAATGTATCAGTAAAAATGACACTACAAAAAATGTTAGTCTATTCTATAGCTTTACACACACTTAGCAAATCACTCAAACCCACCTTGAGGAAAAAAATACTCCCTTCCTCTTTCTGGCATGTTGACTGACTGGAATCAACTCCTTTTTTCAACACCCACCTTCCTAACTTCAATTCACTATTACTGTGGAAGCCTAGCTCAACCCCCAGTACCACCCTCTTTCTTCTAGTGAAACAGTATGTGCTTCTTACCTCTATTCTGAAGGTCTGAACTCACATCCTTCATAATAACCAAGGTCTCTTTGATTTTCTGACTGGGTTGGACTAAGCTTGGCTTGGGCAAGAAGGTGAGGAAGTGCTCCAGGACCAGTTGGTGGATGATCTTGGGTCCACTAGTAGCATCTCGAAGTAGGTCTTGGCCCAGCTTGGAGTTGGGAGGGACTCTCAGTATAAAGGACCGCTTTGGCTTGGGGGGCATAGGGACCACTTTTGCAGCCATCGTGCCTTGAAATCACACACCACACTTGTTTCTGCAGAGCTTCAAGAGCCACCTCTTACTGGAGAAAACCTGTCAGTCAGCTTTTGGGGTTCTGCTGTGCCTGGGCGCACGCTGGGGGCAACCCCGGACCCAGACTCAGGAAGAGACTGGGAAACTAGGCGCGAGAGGCCCAGGCCAACCCTCGCCCTTCGGGGTGTCCTCACTGGCAGCCAGCTATTATTTGTCTAAAGACTTAATTCTCTCAAGGCAACCAGAAAACTAATCTTGAGTCTTATTGTGTGTGTGTGTGTGTGTGTGTGTGTGTGTGCGCGCGTGCACGCACGCGCACTAAGTCACTTCAGTCATGTCCAGCCCTTTGCAACTCTATGAGCTGCTAGGCTTCTCTGTCCATGGGGATTCTCCAGGCAAGAATACTAGAGTGGGCTGCCATGCCTTTCTACAGGGGATCTCCCTGACCCAGAGAACAAACCCACATCTCTGATGTCTCCTGAATTAGCAGGTGGATTCTTTACCACTAGTGCCATTTAGGAAGCCCCTTGAGTCTTATTAACAGGGCCCTTTCATCATTATCTTTATATCATTAACTCTACCGCCAAACTCCAGGGGGTCAAATCCTGGATTGGTGTTTCTCAACTGAAAAGATATTAAAATCTACTCTAAATGGAAGTCCATCCCAACTGCAGACTCTAAACTGAAGGTCTTGGAAAGTGACCAGTAAGATGGAAGATGGGGAAGTTGCTGAGAGCTGGAAGGAGGTGGCAGACGGTGGGGAAGTCCAAATCTCCTTCCAGAGTGCCTACTGTGATTCAGGATGACAGCTTTCCCAGGAGCCCCCTCTACAGATCAGCATCCTTAAGAGGCCCAACCGCATTGGTGTGATCAGCAGCCCCAACTCCACCAGAAGGCCAGCGCATGTCTTCATCACTCAAAAACCAAGTTCCACTTGAAAATATCCTTTTTTTTCCTTTTCTTCCTAATTTTGTTTCTTTACACAAATTTTTAAAAAATAAATTTTATTTATTATTATTTATTTATTTATTGGCTGTGCTGGGTCTTTGAAGCTTTCTCTAGTTGGGGTGAGTGGGGGTTACTCTCTAGTAGTGGTACATTAGCTTCCCAGTGTGGTGGTTTCTATTGTTGTGGAGCACAGGCTCTAAGACACAAGGGCTTCAGTAGCTGTGGTTCACTGGCTCAGTTTGTGGCGCCTGGGCTTAGTTACTCTGTGGCATGTGGGATCTTCCTGACCAGGGATCAAACCCGTGTCCCCTCAATTGCAAGACAGATTCTTAGTCCCTGGACCACCAGGGAAGCCCCTGTTTATACTAATATTTGATTTACAAAAAAAGTGCCTGGGAGAGGTTTTAGCAGTTTAATGAACTTTTAATTTAGAAAGAATAGTTTGGTAGTCTACTTAAAAATGTTTCTGGGCTAGGCATATTCCCTGAGGAAACCAAAATTGAAAGAGACACATGTATCCCATTGCTCACTGCAGCACTATTTACAATAGCTAGAACATGGAAGCAACTTAGATGTCCATCAACAGATGAATGGATAAAGAAGTTGTCGTACAAAAATAAACTCAAAGAGACACAGATGTACAGAACAGACTTTTGGACTCTGTGGGAGAAGGTGAGGGTGGGATGTTTCGAGAGAACAGCATCGAAACATGTATATTATCTAGGGTGAAACAGATCACCAGCCCAGGTTGGATGCATGAGACAAGTGCTCGGGCCTGGTGCACTGGGAAGACCCAGAGGGATC